CAGGACTGAGTGAATCAGAATTACAAATGGTTCAAATGAATAACAAGGAAGGCCTGAAGTAAGTCAGTGACAATGGGGATAAAGAAGGTGGAAATGGGACCAAATATGATATTTCATTAAAAAGCATTAACAGAAAGACTTATTCACAGCAAAATTATGAGAGTGAAGAAAGTTTTGACAGTTAAGATGACTGTCAGGCCTGTTATATCAGTGTCTGTGCCACAAAAAGGGAGAAGAGACGCAGATGGAGAGGCATCTCAGTGCAGAGAAAGTCAGGTTTCAATTTTAGAAATGCAGAGTCTGAAAAGTCCATGGAATGTCTAAAAGATAGTTTTATATGTAATTCTTGAGCACATGAAAAAATACTCGATAGAAAGCTAAATTCAGGGAGCCGGCCCCATGACCAACTGGTTAAGTTTGTGTAGTCTGCTTTGGTGGCCCGGAGTTCACTGGTTAGGGTCCTGGGCACAGACCCACACACTACTCATCAAGCCATGCTGTGGTGGCATGCCACATAGAAGATCTGGAATGACCTACAACTAGGATATACAACTATGTACTGGGGCTTTGGGGAGGGAAAAAAAAAGAGGAAGATTGACAAAAGGTGTTAGCTGAGGGCCAATCTTCTTCAGCAAAAAGCAGTCTAAAAAAAAGAAATATAAATTTGGGTTCATTGTTATAGACTGAGATGCAAGAATGGACATGAACAAGAGTACCTGAGTAAAGCACTAAAATAGAAGGAAAAGAAGGCCTAGGCCTCAATCCTTGGAAATAGAATCATTTAAGACATGGATGGAGATAAATATTCTATGAAGAGATGTAGGAGGGATCAGTCAGAGAATAAGAAGAGAACCAAAAGAAATCAAGGGAATGGGAAGCAAAAGAGAAAAGAATTTCAAGATAAAGAATGTCCATGTCGTCTGTTACTCTAGGAGAGTAAGTAGAAGAAAAAGGGGAAAAAAAGAATCCATTAGATCTGATTCCTAGAAACTCGGAGTTGACCACAGTGAAAATAGGTTCAGTGAAGTAGTGGGACAGAATGAAGATAAAATAGCTCACTCAATGTTGCCCTTATTCTCTCTTTAAATGGTAATACTAAGTCATTTTGTTCTCTTCTAATCCCCTCTACTATTATGTCATATGACTTATCTTGGTTTCCACTCTAGCACCTAGGGCTACACCTCATAAAAAATTTCCTGAACTATTTTCATCTTCTACACGATACTCAAAATAGTAAACCTGCCCAAATGAAAAATTCATCTGTAAAATGTATTTTCCTATATACAAAAGCTATAAAGTTTTATTTTCTAGGGAAAAAATTAATAAAAGTTCCATATCCGGCATGGTGCTGCTCATGTATTTTGAATTTACATAGGAAGAAGAGGCAGTCATCGAGACCTAACACTCTGCAAGCGAATGTGAGTCCCAGGGGCTTCCTGTGGAAGAGGAAGATACTTTAAATTCTTGTATTGCAGGCTTCATAACCTCAGGGATGTACAGGAAGGAAAAGGAGACAGGGGCTCGGCAGGAGGAGATAGTGATTGCTCCAGAGGCATGTGGGCACAGAGAAGGAAACATGGGAGACAATCCAATCACAGTTGTTGTCTGTTAGAGACAATAACTGTCTGACTCACTGATAGACTTTGGCTCCTCGAAGCAGACCAACAAAATTCCCTCTCATGGCCAAAATTACAAAGTGTTAACAGTCGTCTGGCACCTAGAGAGTTTAAAATTCAAGACCAGTCAACAATCAACTGTATACAGTTTGCTGTGATTCTCCCAAGAGCCATCCTGAGCCTTTCTACCACTTTCTACACTGTGTTTGCTGCTTTTGTGATTTTATGCCTCTGGGCCAAAATGAGAATATACCACAAGTGACTCTGGCCCTGGACTAGATAAATAATTAATTCTCAACTCAGCCAGAAGCCGCTACTGCTGGCTTCAGTTGACAAAAAGCAACTATTACCCTGACTCTGATGCCGAGTGCACAGACTTGGTGAAAGCCCTGGAGTGTCACGATATTTGCAGTATGTGTGAATGACAATCTCCTTTTAATACAGTTTCCTGCATCCTACTTTCCCCAGTGATAGCCTAGTAACCAGGAGCAGCCTGGGAGAATTGCCATTCTCTCTCTCTCTTTGTTTTTCCTTACTACACAGTAGCATGATTCAGCCTGTTGCTGAAACGTATTCTGTACTGCTCTTGAAATCAGGAGATCTGTTTTTAAAATGCTAAATGCTCAAGATTGGCAGAAATTTAGAACGCCTTTAAATTTAAAACCAGTTTAAATTGCAGATATCTATCCTCAGCCTCAGAAATTCGATTGCATTCACAAAACTGACAAAACAAGCAGGTCAATGTAAAAGACTCATTACAAGTATACGAATGGGAATTTCTATTTTAAAACTTCAAAACCAGGTACTTTGGTCATTCATTTACAGTTGTTTTCCTTTTTCATGCTAACCATGGGATATGTATTAGAAAAATAACTAAGAAAAAAAATGTCTTAGTTAAGATGAAGTATTTCTCTTCACTAGATTAGACATATATATATATACATATATGCATACAGAAATATTTACACTTATACATTTTTTACAGCCTAATTTTTTTCAAAGCAACGATTTTGAGTAAACTAAAGATAAAAAATCAGTGCAACTGATTCAAGTAATCTAGAGGTTTAAATGATGCCTAGAGGGTGAAAGAAATGCATTTAATATGTACCCACTTATGTCACTGGTGCCATCCTCATCACCCAAGGCCACAGTGGTTCCTGGAAGCCTCTTGGCTCTGTCTCCCTTACTACAACAATCTGTATAAAGGCTGTGAATATTAGGGCCATGGATTCAGCAACTTACGTTTCATCAATTGCCATCCCCAGTGAAGTTTTGCCACCAACTGTGAACACTGCTTTGAAGGGAGGAATAGGTCCTTCAGATATATGGGAACCAATGACTTCATGCCTCATCGGTATCTGGGACCATCTCTACTGTCTTGTTACACTCGAATACAATCGCTCCTGTCTCCCTTGTACATAACTTATTTTTCAATGTCCTTAAGCTTTTACATACAGAGAAAAAAGCAAAAAAACAGGAAGAGCTGTCGTCTTCCTGAAATTTTGATTCAAGCATGCAAAGATCCCTGAGACAAGGAAACACTAGAGGCCTTGTTTTTAGATGTAAGAATGGGAAAGGCCCAGGGGGAGAAAATTCAAAGAGCAAAACAAAAATCACTATCTCAAAAAAGGATCCTGCCGTCGTGGTGGTGAAGAGCCTAGGCAGGCCTAGATTCAGATCCTGGCCTGCCATTTGTAAGTTGCATGACCTTGAGCAAGACATTTGACCTCTTTTTTCCGCAACATTTTATTGAGGAATAATATGTAATAATATATATGCTAATATAGAGAAGAAAAGTACATTTACCTTAAATGTATAGCTCATTATATTTTCCCAAACTAAACAAACCTAGGTAACCAGCATTCACACCCAGAAAAGAATGGTCTGAGCAGCCCAGAAACCCTCCTTCTTATACCCTCCTCATCGCGTGCTAAGGTAGCCACTATTCGACTTCCAGGAGCAGAGTAGTTACTGTCGGCTTCTGTGGACACTGTCTCTGAGTCTCTTTTTGCTTCATTTGTGAAATGAGGATTATGCAATACCATCATACTGAGGTTGTTATGAGAATTAAATGAGTTAATATGTAGGAAAGGTTTAGAAGACCCTGTTACATAACAAACTCTACATCTTTATTAATTAAAAATGAAACAAATGTTTTAGAAAAATTAATCCATGCTTGATTAGTGATTTAGTATAATATAAACTGTATGAACCTAAGCCTAAGAATTGTAATTAAAAATAGTTAAAGTCACACATGATGAAGCAAATGAAGATGTGCTCTGGTTAAACCAAAAATCGGTTTCACAAATGTATCATTCACTTCTACATAGAGACCTTAGAAAAATATTATACAGATTTCTCAGATTGGTTTGATTGAAATAAAATTTAAATGTAGATATCTATCTCAATAATGATGGAACATGGCTTCTCTCTGACACACTGTTTTCTCTTGTAAAATAGTTACACATTATATTATGTGTCATTTCAAGGAACCTCTAGATATATTCAAATTTATTTAAATTTATTTTTAACAAAAAATGTGTATGTTGTCCATTTACAAGCATTATTAACTTGAAAAAATGTAGACTTAATAAGATTATAAATCTTTGGATTGAATAGATGTGTTTATTGAATTTAAAATATAGACCCCTATTGGGGCCAGCCCAGTGGTGTAGTGGTTAAGTGTGCACACTCTGCTTTGGTGACACGGGGTTAGCGGGTTCAGATTCTGGGCATAGACCTACACACCGCTCACCAAGCCATGCTGTGGTGACATGCCATATACAAAACAGAGGAAGATTGGCAAAAGATGTTAGCTCAGGGCCAATCCTCCTCACAAAGATTTATACAATCCTTATTAAAGAAAATGTATCTAGAAAAGATATACCTGCCATTAGATTAAAGTGGTTCACTACATACAATAAAAGTCATGAGATCAACATCAAGAATACTGTTTCATTTATCACATTTCATGGAATTGATTTTCTATCCTTAGACATAAGGAAATTTTGTAACAGCCAACAGAAGGCAACATGACTTGACTCCAAACACATTTTTTAAAAAGAAAAGAAAAAAGAAAGCACAAAATAATTTTTTCCAAGTTGAAAAAATAGCGCATAGATTAAAATACCATTTCATGTAAATTTTATGATATTTGCTTCCCTTTTTTGTTGACTACTGCTTTAATTTTCTGAAAATCTTTAAACTTATTCACTAATAAATTATGTTTCTAGCTATTCAGTGACATTACACAACCAAATGCTTACATCTGAAGACACTATATCCAATGTCACCTTTGGAAACTAAAATGGAGTCACTTGGGTTGGGGCCAAAATGGAGTTGGCCAATGCAAGTGCATTAAAGAAAAATGAAACTTAACCTTACCTAATATAAGTTGCAGGAATTTACAGCTCTTCTCAGAAATCAGTAGACAACACCAACCGATCCCCGAATGCCAAGTCTGTTCACGCCATCTTTGAACTTCCTTGACGCCATCTTTGAACTTCCTTGTTCCCCTGACTCAGCTACCCTGATCCAGATAAAGAAGATTCTGAAGCAACGAATGAGCTGAAAAAGCCCAATAACTTCTGCATTTACCCCCAAAAATCTTTTATTCTGTGAGCAACTCCAAACACATTGCTCTTTGGCCTTGAGTTTCTGGGCTTACAGGTTGAAACACCTCCAATAAACTCATCTTTCTGTTTGTTTTACTCACACAAAGTGGTTTGACAAAACACACGCCAAAACAACCAACAATACTAAACTTCAAAGGTTTAGTATTGAAATTGAGAAAATATTGAATGGACAAACTTAAAAACATATCATGTTAAGTTTAGGAGTACCCATGGCAGAAGGTGATTCTCCAAAGTTCCATTTTCACAAATGAAGCTCTAATTTTTGAACTATATTGAAAGCCCATATTTGGCAGATAGCCTGTTGCTTTAGGAGATTTGTTATTATGTTGCTGGGGGAAAATACTTGAATTTTTCTGGGGAGTAGGGTACACTACACCTTAGAATTTTGGCTCTAAAACACTTTTAGGTTATTAGAAGTAGTGTAGGTTCCTGAGTATGAAGTCTCTGCAGCTACACGACATTCTGTCCTCAAAGGACCTCGCGCTTGCAATCTGCTGTCGCCATCTCAAAATTCTTAATAGTTTTTGAACAAGGGGTCCTCATTTTTCTTGTGTACTAGAGCCCACACTTTGTAGTTTGTTCTGATTGGCAGACTGCTCAGTACCCCAGTTCTCCCTTTGACATACATGTTCGATGGACATTCAGCCCATTTTCTTCCACTCAGAACATCTGAAAGAGTGTAAGGAGCAGCATCTGCCTTGCCATGCCCCTGAATCATGGTGTGTCCATGTAAATGGGCTACATGCTTTGGTCTCATTTCCACTTGTGCCATCTAGGCCTTCTTTTTTTTTGGTCAATGACACCCTCTTCTCCTGTTTCTTTAGACTCAGTCTCCTCCATATTAATTTACTTTCAATCAAAACATGCCCACATAGCCTCCATATTCAGAAAAAAAAAATGTCTTTTATTAAACTTTTGTCTCCTTCTGTTTGGAAGTCTATCATTTTACAGACAAGAATCCAAAGTATGATACACTCTCCTTCATGAAAATAATATGAACCCATGGTAGGACACTAGAAAAATATATATGAATATTTTTAATAGACAAAATGTCATCTATAATTTTACTGCCTAGAGAAAATAATATTTAAAAATATTTTTTTTTCTAAGCATTTAGCATAGTTAAGATTGTATCACTTGGGTGACTGGTGTAGTGGTTAAGTTCACGTGCTCTGCTTCAGGGACCTGGGGTTTGCTGGTTTGGACCCTGGGCAAGGACCTACACACCACTCATCAAGCCATGCTGTGGTGGCATCCCACACAGAAGAACTAGAATGACTTGAAACAAGGGTATACAACTATGTACTGGGGCTTTGGGGAGAAAAAAAGGAGGAGGTTGGCAACAGGTGTTAGCTCAGGGCCAATGTTTCTCACCAAAAAAAGGAGGATTGACAACGGCTGTTAGCCCAAGGCGAAACTTCCTGGCAAAAAGAAAAAAGAAAGATTGTATCAGTTGTTCTCAAAGTGTGACCCATAAGACGACCAAAGGAGGTCATCAAGACTCAGGGGGTCTGTGAGGTCAAGCTTATCTTCATAATAATATTAAGATTTTATTTTTATTTTTCAGCATGTTCACATTTGCAAATATGGTGCATTTGCAAGGGTGGATAAAATTGCTGTCTCCTTAACCTGAATCCAGGCAGTGGCTTCAATCCATCTAGTCACGGTATGCTTCACAATCACACCCTCAGAGGAAAAAAACCAAATGCCTTTTTACTCAAGAAGGTCCTTGATGAAGCAGTGATTTTTATTAATTTTATTAAATCTCAACCCTTAAGTACATTTTTTAATATTCTGTGGATGAAATGAGAAACCTACACAAAATACTTCTGCTGCACAGCAAAGTAAGATAGCTATCTCAAGGAAAAGCATGCGTACTATTACTGAACCAACTACTTTAATCGTGGAGCACCATGACTGACAGAAAACTATATTTATTCAGACTTGAGTACCTGGCAGAGATTTGTTTCAGAAATGAACAAAGTGAAACTGCAACTTCGGGGGAAACAATGGATATATTTGTTGCCAATGATGAAATTCGAATTTTCCCTTGAAAATTAGAATTTTGGAAAACATGTTGCCACCACTGTCAGCTTTATAGCTTCAGAGTGGTGAGAGACTTCTCTGATGAGATCGGTGGTGATGTTAACAAATTTGACTTTTGATACTGTATAACTAAATATGTTATTTGGACTACGTGCATAAATTAGTGAACCAATATCTGCCAAAATCATGCATGGATAAAAGAGCCACTCAAAGTAAAAGATAGAACAATGGATTTTAATGTAACGGTATAGTAGTACAATAGTACAATAGTCCCCCTTTGTCTGTGGCCCATAGGATCCAAGACCTCCGGTGGATGCCTGAAACCGCTAATGTACCAAACTCCATACATACCGTTTTTTCCTATACATATGATGAAGCTGAATTTATAAATTAGGCACAGTAAGAGATTAACAACAATAATTAATAATAAAATAGAGCAGATCTAACAATATAGTGTAATAAAAGTTACTGTAGATCTTAGGAATCTCAGCACCCGATTTCTTTTCCTCTCCCTATTGGTGAACTTCCACCTTTTCACTTAAAGGAAGCCCTTTACGGCCTCTCTTTCACATATCCAAATTGCTAGCATCACTACTCTTGCACTTTGGGGCCTTTATTAAGTAAAATAAGGGTTACTTGAACATAGGCACTGTGATACCAGGACAGTGGATCTGATAACCGAGATGGCTACTAAGTGACTGCTGGGTAATGCATACAGTGTAGAGCTACCGGACGAGGGGATGATTTATATCCCCGTCAGGTGAAGTGGGACAGAGCAAGATTTCATCAGGCTGCTCAGAATGGCACGCAGTTTAAAACTATGAATTGTTTATTTCTGGAATTTTTCATTTAATATTTTGAGATCACAGTTGACCATGAATAACTGAAACCACGGATAAGGGGGGACAACTGTATTATCAACAAAAATATCAACAACTATCTTCAGAGACTACTTAAATATTTCATTTCCAAATACGTATTGTGTGAGGCCAGGTTTTCTCCATATTTTCCAATCCAAAGAACATATTGCAACAGAGCAAATGAAGCATATATGAGAATTCATACAAACAAAAGTTATTTGGGATCTTCAATGATTTTTATAAACATAAAGCATTCCTGAGATCAAAATATTAAGAAAGTTTTAAAAGTTTTAAAAGTTGGCTGCTGTATATAATTTTTCTTATCCTGAATTTTTTCATTTAATATCATTTATTACCTGCCTAATACTTATTGTTACTTTTTTATTCAGCTGTCTGCTAACAAGACTGACAACTATTTGACCTTTTATTTTATTCATATTCATATTCCCAATTTCTGTCTAATCTTGGTATTTAGCGTGTGTTCCATAAATGTTCATTGAATGAATAAGTTGCAATGGGACAAGTTTTAATTCATGTCTCATTGATTGCTTTGGATTAGACTCGTTGTCCAGAAATGGTTACTGAATCTTTCTGATACTTACCTTATCGGGTGAATTACTCCCTGAGAAGCCTCTAGGCAAATCACTTAACAGTGAAGTCGTTTTGTTGAGCGGAAAGAGCTCTGATGCACACATCTGGATTTCCAATCACAATTCTAATAATATCGATATGAGGTATAATCTTGGAAAAAGTAATTGTGATATATTCTCCTCAGTTACAAATTTTCTTCTTCATACATTGAATATGAATAGTTTGAATTAAAAGATGACAGTATTTAGAAGATTTTAAGGAATCATAAGACAAAGAGCCACCTATGAAAGATTAGTGTACAAGCTTGTGCCATGCAAAGGTGTAGGGGCTAAATTTGCATTTGCCCACAGTATAGAAGCTATAAGATTAGAAAATGAGAGACAAAAATCTCAAAAACTACCAGAGATAAATAAATAATGATTTAAAATAAACAACAAGCAGATTCTAAAGAGAGTTTTTGCCAATAACAATAGGTATGCTATTTTCAAAGTGCCAGAATCCAATTCAAAACTCACTTTCGAAGATAGTGTGAACTAGGAGCTTGGCTTCATGGCCAACTGGTTAAAGTTCCGTGTGTTCCACTTCAGTGGCCTGGGGTTCACAGGTTCAGATCTCAGGTGTGGACCTACTCCACTCGTCAGCCACGCTGTGGAGGCATCCCTCATACAAAGCAGAGGAAGACTGGCACAGATGTCACCTCAGTTCTAATCTTCCTCACCAAAAAAAAGAAAAGAAAAATATCCTGTGAACTAAAGTTATTTTCAGATACTCAAAGGCAAAAATCTTTATTACCTATAGATCTTTGTTAAAAATAATAAAATAAAGAGACCTTGATTGAAACAGATGAGGTAAAATATAAAAAGAAATTAAGAAAAGAAATAAGATTAAAAAAACAAGTTGATAAACCTAAATCAGTACTGAGTATAAAAAAATAATTAGAAAAATAAATTGATGAAATAAAATCAAGGGCAAAATAAAATATTTGACTATAATAACATAGAGATGGGAGGAAAGAGTTATAGCACTCTAAATTGCCTAAAGTGTGTGGAAAATTCAGAGTGGATATTCACATTGTTAAGATTTAATGTTAAGTTTGCATTTTTAAAATATAAGGGCAATAAAAAATAATATAAATGGAAGGCACAAATTTTATGAGAGTAGAGTGGGAAAGGCAGTAAAGAACACCAGATAATGGCAATATAAGGCATGAAACAGGGCAAGAAGCAAAGAAAAGTAGGGTTAAGTAACACGAAAATAAAAGAGTTGAAATAAACTTTGGTTTATTGGTTTATTGTATTAGTCTGGGTTCTCCAGAGAAACAGAACCAATAGGAGACAGATGCATAGTGTTATATGTATATAGAAATCTTGGTGCTGCACTTTTTAATTTGCAATTTATACAAGGAGAAGCTCTTAAAATTGCTGAAAACAATATAAAAATAAATTGATACATAGCAAGTCTAAGAGGAAGCAGAAATGGAACTGCCTCCTCAGTTCAGAATATTCATTTTAGAAAACTGGCCCCCAGACAGCAGACAGCACCACAGGACTATACAGATCTTCAAACTGCCAGCTTCATATCCGAGAAAGAGATGCTGAAACTAATCAGATACAGGCACTGGAAACAAGGGGAATCTATGTACCCTACCAGTTAACAAACATTTGGTATCTATCGGCCTTTCCTTGTTCAAGGGGAAATAATCACACGAAACAAATACCAACATAAGGTCTGGATAAGAGACATCTTATTGAATCACAATTTCCCAAAATCTATGCCTCAAAATGTATTCTGACTCAGGAGACAAAGGCCCTCTCATAAAATATATTTTTAGAATTCTGACTTAAATGTTAAAACAATTTCTGTATTTCACGATCTTTTGGTACTTTCAAGATGCTGTTATTCATATCTACAACTGACAAATATTCGCTGAGAATTCCTCATGGAACTGGTATTTTTGGACACGCTTTGGGAAATGCTCCTGTAGAAGTACCTTCTTTGATATGGAAATATGTGCAACATCCATTATAAAATTATAAAATCAAGCTACAAAATTGGTTATGCAATAAATTTCCATATATATTTCCACTGGGTAAGCAAACACAATGGTATTTTATATATTCAATCTAAATGAGACAGATTACAATGGTAGGGTATTACAAATGGTAGGGTTAAGTGGGTAAGTGAATGTATATGACTTATTGTATCCGTAAGAGGATATCCAAACCAAATTTGTAAACAAAAGGCTTTTTGAAAAAGGAGGGTTCTGACCTAAGACCTGATTATCAAATCAGAGATATTTGCAAAGTAAAAATAATGAGGCGAGAGTGGCTGGCAGTCCGTGGATGACTGAATTTTGCATTCCAGACTGAGAAAACATATGACCATCATCTACAGCCATAAAAGGATAAAATGTTCAAAAATAGCATATTTCATCTGGTTGGAGTTTAGAGCATGAGGTGGGGAGTGGTAAGATAGCCTGCTGGAAAGGTAAGAAGTTGTAAAATCATGAAAGTCCACACAAGATAGATAAAGAATGTAAACTTTATCCCAAGGGCAATGGGGAACCAAAGAAAAGTTTTACATAGGTTAGGGAAAAACTCTACTTTTGTTTAAAAGATTATGCTACACTATGGAAATGTGACATAAGGTGGCAAGAATAGAGGGAAGAAGACCAGTTGGTAAGTTGAATGAGAAGATGATGGCCTAAAAGAAAGATGATAACAGAAAAGATGAAATGGAATTGATAGATCAAGAGATACAGAACAGGCAGGGCGCGGACATGGATCAGTTTCAGGAAAAAGGAGGGGTCAGCAGGACACTGGAGTTTCTAAAAGATTTGATGAAAACTTGATGAATTCACTCAAAGGCGTGAAAAACAGAGAGAATGTTTGGGGTAGAACGGAGATATATTGGATCCAACTTTGATTACGTTAGATTTGAGAAGCTTCTGAAACTTCAAAGTGGTGGGTCATGAGTTAATTAAGATGCAAATTTGTTGAGAGGAAATTTGCTTGTTCTATGAGTGCATTCATATTCTTTCAAGCATTTAAAAAACAGATAACTTAGGGGCCAGCCTAGTGGCATAGCAGTTAAGTTGGTGCATCCTGCTTTGGTGACCCAGGGTTCACCAGTTCGGATCCCGGGCTTGGACCTATGTACTGCTTATCAAGCCACGCTGTGGTGGGCATCTTACGTATAAAATAGAGGAAGATGGGCGCAGATGTTAGCTCAGGGCCAAGCTTCCTCACAAAAGAAAACAAAAATTCCTTGCCACAGAAATCATTCTAAAGCATATGAAAAGATGGAATTTTACCTAATTCACTTTATGAAGCTAGCACAATTCTGGTCTTAAAACCTTAGAAATACAGAAAAATAAAACAAAATCACAAATCAGTCTAGCTTATAAACACAGAAACAAATATTTCAATTTATATACTGGATCTGACTACATAAAACTTTAAAATTTCTGTGTCAATAATATCCTAAATATAATAGCTGAAATATTTCCAATTACTTGAAAACTTACCCATAGCCTTAATATTTTAGGAGAAAATACTGTTCAAATGATCTGAAAAAATATGCAAAGGAAAAATTGGAAAAGAGTAAGAAATATACTATCAGCATAAGAACTAAGAGATTCATCAAAATTGAAGACATTTTTCCTTTACTAGAAAATTCCAGAGCAACTTGATTCTGGAGAATTGTACCTTAGAGTAAACTGAAGGAGTAAATACAGGATATTCCCAAATGCGTTGTCACGGCAACTGAATGTAGGCTTTTACTTAGAAGGCTTTTTCACAGAGGACAAATGTTCTTCATGTCAAGCCAGGAAAGGAAAAGGTCAAAAATTTTTTTTGGTAGCCTACCTTTAGCCAAAGCAAATAATGAGAGTATGTGGGAAATATACTCACCTAAGAGAAGAGTCTTGGAAGAAAAAAAATAACAAAATCAACAAAACATTAATGTAATTTTTTTTTGAGGAAGATTAGCCCTGAGCTAACATCCACCACCAATCCTCCTATTTTTTGCTGAGGAAGACTGGCCCTGAGCTAACATCCATGCCCATCTTCCTCTACTTTATATGTGGGATGACTACCACAGCATGGCTTGATGAGCGGTGCCATGTCCACACACAGTGCCATGTCCACAAGCGGGATCTGAACCAGCGAACCCCGGGCTGCTGAAGTGGAACATGCGCACTTAACTACTGCACCATAGGGCCGGCCCCATGAATGTAATTTTTTTAAAAAGTTATGACAACAGAAAGCCTGAAGCTATTATGGGTTTAAAACACAGCAACTGGTGGCTCACCTTGAGGGAAAAAAATGAAAAGATGCAAAAAGTAATTCCTCTACATGTACATAGAAGTCCTGTTATCCTGAAATCTGTATATTATTTTAAAGGAATTACAGAGGAAGGGAGTAAAGATGAAGTTCCAAAACTCCAGCTACCCCAAATCCAAGAAACTCACTCTCCCACACACCCAGACAGCTGAAGGGCTGAACAAAATATGAAAGCCATCAGCATCTGAGCTGCTATCTCAGTCTCTATAATAAAGCATCGAGAAGTAAATGTCCAAACAGGACAGACACACAAAGAAGTTACTGAAACTCTCTTCCTGATAATTTGTGGAGAGTACAGAAGACGTCAAGAGAAAACTCTTGGGTAAAAAATACACAGGAAGAAACTGATCAATGCAAAATATCGAAAACGAAATTCACCCCAAAAATCTGTGTGTGAGTATGTGTGTAAGAGAGGTGAAATGAATAAATAAATATAAATAACATAAGAAAATAACATAATAACATAAAAATCTATTTGGGGAAAAGAAGAAGTAAAACACCTCAAGAAACAGAAGTGATGTCAATGTGAAAAAAAATCTTTTGCAATCTTAAATAAAAATAAATATTAACTCTATGAGACAGAAATCATAAGAAATGTATTAGTAAGGCATTATGTCAAGTGAAATAAGTCAGACAGAGAAAGACAAATACCAGATGATCTCCCTTATATCTAAAAAAATCTAAAATCCGAAAAAAATCTATGTCTAAATCTAAAAACATCTTTTAAAAAGTCTAAAAGAAAAAAGAAAACCAAGCTCATAGAGACAGAGAACAGGTTGGTGGTCCCCAGAGGCAGAGGTTGGGGTGGGAGAAATGTATAAACTGTTTTGTTTTGTTTTGTTTTTTAGTTTAAATAAATTGAAATTTTTTTCTAAAAAGAAAAATGGCACACGTACATACTCCAAGTGAAATTCATTAGTCAAAATCAGGATATATATAATAAATGAAATTCATCCAGAAGCCTTCAGAGTTCAATTATTTAGTTAATAATAATTATGTAAAATTTAAAAATCCCCAAAGCATATGGAAATAACCAACCGTTTGTTAGGAAAATATTTTTAAACTAAACGTCTGGGTAAGATCACTAGGAAGAGAAAGGGAAAATAAATGTATGAAATGGTTTATATCTAAAAGAATATAATATTCAACAATCTTGAAAGTGCATTTGAAAATTTCACTAAAATTACCTTTTGGAGTGAGATAAATCATTTGAAAAATGAAATAAGAAAGCATCAACAAACTATAGATAATTTGGGAAAATTAGATCATCATTGGAC